TTGTGTTGAAAATTTGGAGGCATTACTTGTATGGGTCAAGGTTTGAAGTGTTTAGTGATCATAAAATTCTGATATATTTATTTGACAAAAAAGAGCTGAATATGAGACAAAGAAGATGGTTGGAATTCTTGAAGGACTGTGATTTTAGCTTGATTTACCACCCTGGTAAAGCTAATTTTGTGGCAGATGCTTTGAGTTGGAAGACAATCCATATGTCGACATTGATGATTAGAGAGTTAGATTTAATTGAGCAATTTAGAAACTTGAGCATGGTTTGTGAACTGACTCTTGAGAGTGTGATGTTAGGTATGCTGAAGGTTATAATGAGTTCCTTAGTGAGATTAGAGAGAGTCAGAAACTTGATTTGAAGCTGGTGGATTTGATGACTGCAGGAGGGTCAGATGTAGAAGGTGACTTTAAAGTGGATGATTTTGGTGTGTTAAGATTTAGAGGCCGAATTTATGTGTTGGATAATTATGAATTGAGAAAAATGATCCTAATGGAAAGCCACATGAGTAGTTTGAGTATTCATCCAAGAGCTAGAAGATGTATCATGATCTTAAGAAATTGTTTTGGTGGTCGGGTATGAAGAAATACATAGCTAGATTTGTGTATGCTTGTTTGACTTGCTAGAAGTCAAAGGCGGAACATCAGAAACCTTCCAGCCTAATGGAACAAATGGAAATACCAGAGTGGGAATGAGATAGTATTGCGATGAATTTTGTGACTGGGTTATCAAATATGGCAAGAGACTTTGATGCTATTTGGGTAATTATGGATAGACTGACGAAATCGGCAAATTTTATACAGATTAACATCAGTTTCCCTTTGGCAAAGTTAGCTGAGATTTATATAAGGATAATAGTGAAGTTGCACGGGGTCCCGTCGAGCATTGTGTCTGACAGAGACCCAAGGTTTACTTCCGAATTTTGGAAGAGCTTGCAGAAAACTTTGGGTTCTAGTTTGAAGTTGAGTTTTTCTTATCATCCGCAAACAAATGGACAGTATGAGAGGATTATTCAGTCGCTGAAAGACTTGTTGAAAGCTTGTATACTCGAGCAGGATGGTGCTTGGGATACTCATTTGTCGCTAATTGGATTTACTTACAATAACATTTACCATTCTAGTATCAGAATGATGCCTTTTGAAGCATTGTATGGTAGGAGGTGTAAGACGCCTCTATGTTGGTATGAGTCGGACGAGAGTGTTGTACTCGGACCCAAGATTATGCAATAGACTACTGAGATAATTCAGATGATTAGAGAGAAGATGAAGGCATCCCAGAGTAGTTATAAAAGCTATCATGATAATAGGAGAAAAGACTTAGAATTCAGCGAGGACGGACATGTATTTCTTAGGCTCAATCCTGTGACCGGTGTTGGTCGTGCGTTGAAATCGAAGAAGTTGGATCCTAAGTTCATTGGACCGTATCAGATTTTGCAGAGAGTTGGGGTTGTTGCTTATAGAGTGGTGCTGCCACCCGAGCTTTCGAATTTGCATGATGTGTTTCATGTGTCGTAACTTTAGAAGTATATTGTTGATCCATCTCATGTGTTTCAGAGGGATGAAGTACAAGTTTGGGATAACCTTACAGTGGAGGCGATGCCGATAAGGATCGAGGATCTCAAGATGAAGTAGCTAAGGGGAAAAGATATTCCTTTGGTGAGAGTAGCTTGGGGAGGAGCTACGGAAGAAAGTGTGACTTGGGAATTGGAGAGCAAGATGCGAGATTCATATATGGAATTGTTCTCATGAGGTACATTTTCGAGGAAGACAATATTTTAAGTGGGAGAGAGTTGTAACACCTTATTTAATTATTTAGTCGTTTATGATTTATTGTGTGTTGCTTGTGATTTTATTGGCTTAATTAAGGGTAGGTGGTTAAGGGTGAATGTGAGGAATTAGCCTTAATCGAGTAATGTGAATAAAACCTTAGAATAATATGATAATGATAATTAATTAATAATAGGTGAGAAATATTAGTAACATTATGGTTATTGTTATTAGTACCACTATTATTATTAGTATTATTATTATTCCTATTGTTGCTATTATTATTATTATTATTGTTAATGTAATTATTCTGGATTAATAAAATAAATAAAATAATTAAGAGTGAATAGTGGAAGGTTTTCACAAAAGATCAGTTATGTGAAAAGAGAAGAGAAAGAGAGTTAGGGTAAGGGAACAAGGGGATTTTCCACCATTGTTGAAGGATCAAAGCTTGGAGATTCGAGTAAGGGGGGAGAATGAGATTCAATAATGGTGATTATAACATGAGAGGGTAGTGAGGGTTCCTTTCCCTCTTAGGGTTTTCTGTATATCCTTAATTTCTTGTCCGGACTCTATGTGGGAGTCGTGTGGAAATAGCTCGTAGTTTAGAGGAACGTATACGACTTATCCAGATTACGACGGGAATCAGGTTATAGGATGAATCATATGTGATTTTGATGGTACCACATGCATTATGTCGTATCAGTGAGTCACATTGCATACTTATATGTGATTGCATGTGGGCTGTTTATGCTGAATGATGATGTGACACTTGTATGTGTGTGATAATTGTGTGGTTGGTGTGTTAACTACTCTTAGCATGTGTTTTGGCCGTGTATTTGTTGAATGTAGTTCTCTCCTTTTTTCTGTTTGTCGTGTCTGTGCTCCTTTGGGGAGTACAGGTGACCAGGTACCCGAGTAGTGCTTGGAGCACTGTGTTTCTATTTGATCAAGTCTTAGAAGTCGCTCTGATACGTAACACGGGAAGTATGGGGTTTTCGTTGTGTTTTCATGTTATTTGACTTTTTATTTGTTACGTTTCTGGTTTGAATCTAAATTATTGTTGAACCACGTATTATAAGGAAAATTGATGTAATTGGAGTTTACATGTTAAACCGTTTGATTTAATTCTGCTGTTTATTCATACTACTTATTTTTATGAAATAAATAAAAGGTGAAGCGCTTGGATACTTCACTTTGACGTTATTTTTGGATATGTGACATCTTACATGTATTAACTCTGATTTATTTCCGCACTTATTATCGTATTTTCAATTTTATACGAATGGATAGAGTAGGGTGTTACACCTTTCATGCAAAAAAAATTTAACGTCCATAATTCGACGATCGAGTTTCTAAATGACTTGGAGTGACACCATATTTGTAAAGACAACATCCACTCTTCCATAATAGTGCTTTAGCTGTTGTCCATTCACTTTCAATGTTCCTCCCGTAATATCATTCTTACATTCTAGGGCTCTATGAGGAAATTTTTGTGTGATTTTAACTGACCCGACCATCTAGACTTAAGCTTTTTGGCAAACAACTTCTTAAGATTTTCTTTTCTAGATCTTTCTATCATGTCATTTCTTTGTATTAGAGAGTTAGAGGATTTCTAAGATTTTCTTTTCTAAATCTTCCTAAGTTTTGGCATTTTCATAAGTGAATTTTAGAAATTTCTCTAACTCATTGAGTTAGAGAGTTAGGGAATTCTTGATTCTCATTCTATAGATAGATCTCAGTTTTGGCATTTGTTATGGCAAAATGAAATTAACTAATTTTCTCAAGTACTTCCTTTGATCCTGAGTAATGTTTTAGTAATTTTTAGAGGTACATGCATTATGTTCATTACTATCTTTTTCTTCATCCATCCTGTTATGTCGAGCAAAGGAAACTTAAAATCAATATGAAATAGAAGTCTCGTCCTATTAATTTTTTCAAACTCAATATTGACAAATCCTACTTCAGTAGTACAAGGCTTTCGGCTTGTGGCAGCCTCATTAAAAACTCCAAAGGGATTTATGTTAGTAGTTTCTTTTGTAACCTTGGCCGATCAACCTTTGTGTTGGCCGATTTCTTGGGCGTAGTCCATGGTTTAAGAATGTCAAATACTTTGAGTTTCTGTTCCTTACTTGTTGAAATGAATTCTTTCGTTGTGGTTGATATGATCATCTCTTTGAACACTCATAATCTTCATTCGATTATACTTCTTCTTAAGATGTTATCCCTCATGGATCAAAAATATTAAAAACGTTGGATCAAACTTATTTATTAAGAATCTAATAATTGCAGAACTCGCCATGAATCATAGTTAACCTTTTATTTTAATAAAATTTCCAACTCTTTATCATTCTTTAATTTTGTTGCTATTTGATAATTATGGATTATTCTCTTTTTCTTGTTATCTTAACATTGTTTTTAATTTTTTTTAATAAAAAAATATATTATTTTTATACTAATTTATTTTAAAATACATTTATCGAATGAATTTTTTATTTATTTTTGCATATAATACACTTATCCTTCCAAACTTATAATTGTCATTACAAAATAAATAAGAATAACAATTTTATTTTTATTTTTGATAAAGAGATATAAAATTGAACTGTTAGGAATGAAACCCTATAAACTTTGTTGTAAAATTAAAAAAATAAAATAAAATAATCATTTTAATTAATCAATTTATCACTTCCTTCTTCTTTGTTCTTCAAACACAATCTGGTTGGTTTTATCTCCCACTCCAGATAAACCCTGCCTACTCTTCTTCTTGGTGAGTTTCAAAATCTCCATTTTCTTCCTTTTCCTTTTACCCCTATAATCCTCTAATGTTTTTTTTTTCTTTCTGAATTGCGAATAAAATTGGTTCTTTTTGTTGGTCAATTTTTCTGTAACATTCATAGTATTTAATTACTGTGTATTTATACTCAGAATTTCAGAACCCTAAATCAGTTGGATTTTACTTCCATTTCTCCAAATTTCCGAATTTGTGAATAAGTTTTAGAATTTTAACATTTTATAATGCAACTAATTTTCATTATACTGTTTAATTGTTATTCCATGTCAATTGTGTTTATAGGTATTGCATTTGTTGTTTGCAGGAACCCCTTTTGTTAGGTTATGATGGTTGTTCAGAAGTAGGAAACTAGGAATTATAAAAAAGATTTTTTTTTTTTTACTTACACTGTCAAGTTAAATCTGTTTCGATAATTTGGTTTCTGTGAGGAATTATGGAAGGATTATTGAATTCTTTGGTTAACCAAAGTTGTTTAAAGCCCTTTGGTTTTTCTCCGAGAGTTGGTTATACTTTCCCGGTTACCACGAGAACTTGTCGTTTAAATTGGAAATCCGGTTCGTATACCTTGAACAACATCGATTGCATGCGTTTTGATAGAGGTAGTGCTACCGGTGCTAGAGGAGCTAGAGTTTCTGCATTGGATAGCGATGATAAAGGAGAGGAATCTGATATGGATTGGGAAACGGAATTATTAGAGGAACTGGATCTGTTTGGTTATCGAGCTCCGAATAAAAGAGAAAAAGAACAAAGGTTGGAGTTGCTTGAAGATACGGATGAAATGGATTGGTGTGTGAGGGCAAGAAAGATGGCACTAAAAACAATTAAAGCGAAGAGTACGGCTTATGCAATAGAGGATTTGTTTACTGAGAAGAAGAAGAAGAAGAAAAAAGCTAAGAAGAAGTTGGTAAGCAAGGAGAAAATAGATAATAAAATCGACGAAATTGATTTGAAAAGGAAAGCAGGTTTGATTGAGGATGACATGTTTGCAGAAAATAAGGCGAAAACGACGGAAACATTTTACAATAGACTGTCTAAATTTTCTGGGATATCTGACCATAGAAAAGAAATGCACTTGAACAAAGCGATCATTGAAGCACAGACTGCAGAGGATGTGTTGGAGGTTACATACGAAACAATTGTTGCAGTTTCGAAAGGACTTAGCCCGTCGCCTCTCTCGCCTTTGAATATTGCTACTGCTCTCCATCGTATTGCTAAGAATATGGAGAAAGTTTCTATGATGGGAACTCAAAGACTCGCGTTTGCTCGACAAAAAGAGATGTCTAAGCTTGTCGGCATTGCAATGACATCCTTACCTGATTGCTCGGCTCAAGGAATCTCAAACATTGCTTGGGCGCTGTCTAAAGTTGGAGGGAAACTGCTTTACTTTTCAGAAATGGATAGAATTGCAGAGGTTGCACTGACCAAAGTTGAAGAATTTAACTTTCAGAATATTGCTAATATTGCAGGTGCTTTCGCTTCAATGCAGCATTCAGCTACTGATCTTTTTGCAGAATTGTCGAAAAGAGCTTCAGAATTAATTCACACTCTCAAAGGTCAAGAACTTGCACAGCTCTTGTGGGCATTTGCATCTCTGTACGAGCCTGCTGATGTCGTATTTGATTCTTTAGACAAACTCTTGAAAGATCATAGCCAATCAATAGGTTTAATAGGTGAAAATTTATCCAATAATCATGAACAAATCGGTGCCGAATCTGTTGATCGAAACGAGGCCTCAAATTTACTGACTTTAAGTAGGGATGAGCTTGCGAATATAGCTTGGTCCTATGCTGTCTTTGGACAAATGGATAGGATTTTCTTCTCTCATGTCTGGAAAACTCTCAACAATTTTGAAGAGCAAAGGGTTTCGGACCTGTATAGGGAAGATATTATGTTTGCTTCTCAGGTTCATCTTGTAAACCAGTGCTTGAAACTTGAATTCCCACATCTTCAGCTGTCTTTATGTGGCAAGCTCGAGGATAAAATTTCACACGCTGGAAAAAGCAGAAGATTCAATGCGAAGGTAACTTCGTTATTTCAGAAAGAGGTTGGACATCTTCTCGTTAGCACTGGACTTCAATGGGTCAAAGAATATGTTGTAGATTGCTACTCTTTGGATGCTGCGGTAGTTGATAAGAAGCTTGCTCTGGAGATTGATGGTCCAACTCATTTCTCTAGAAACACCGGTGTGTATCTTTTATTTTTATCAAGTTGAATCATTACTATATTGGATCACTCAGTTTGTTATTTTTTTGTCTTTTCCTGTTATATAGATGTTCCTTTAGGACATACCATGCTAAAGCGCCGATACATTACTGCTGCTGGTTGGAAACTCGTCACATTATCCTATCAAGAGGTGAGCTCTCTAATTCCATAATTTTGAGTTTTACATATGCTGTAAGTAATATCAGTGTCACGACAAGTCATTTGCACGGTTTGCGGCATGCGCCAAACTTACAATATGGCGGCTTCCATCTAAACTCATCAGTTTATATAATACCGTCTGCTTATTTCTAAAGTAGAGGAAGCAAGAGTTGTACTTTTTCTTTTCCAACCAAACAATTTTAAGGATTTAATTGGAATAGTGACTAGTCCAAGAAAAAATTGTGAATGTTTGTGCACTTTCCTGCAGTGGGAGGAACTTCAAGGAGGATCTGAACAGATGGAGTACCTTAGGGGCATTCTTGAAGATGATATAGATAAAAGAAATGTCAGCACTACATTAACTGAGGTAAAGTGATAATTCAATGCTTTTTTGTTATGGACATGTATATTTGTTAGATAACATTGAATCTCAAGATCATCTAAATGTCATCTAATCATAGTTATTGTATATTTGTTGAGACATTGTTATTTCCTATACAAGTAGGCAACACAATGAAGCCATTTTACCTCACCTCACAATAAATCTTTCAAAATCTAAAAAATATGAAAATAGCTTATTCTTCAACAATGTCATGCTATAGGAGTGGGATCATATGGTTTTGAATCGTTGTCATCATTAGAGATTTGATGGTGAAAAAAGTGAGGTAATTTTGAGAAGGTGGAAATTAGATGTACCAGTAAATCCTTACTCATTTTACAAACTAGCCAAAAATATACTTAACACAATAAGCGTATGTTTAAGCGTATGTTTGTGTTGGTGTTTGCTGACTACCACAACACTATGAAATGTTTCTCGACTGTGATTTCTACAAGCTACTATAGCTTCCACGTTCTCGTGGTTTTCTGCAAACACACGCTCAGTCTTGCGTATGAAATCTTTTCCACATTTTTTATGTCAAAATTCAGAGCCATTTGCAACACCATTGTTATAATTTGAACCAATAGGAGTTGATATTTATTTAATTATTATTATTATATAGTATTTTGTTACACATGCTTTTAACTTGTTTCCAGTTGTATGATTTTATAATAATCCATGGCCTGTTACCTTACCTACTAGCCCCGGTTGGCACCATTATTTTTTCTAAACCGATTTTTAATTCTTAATTTCTTATCCTCCTAAAGCCTCCAAACTCATTTTTGTCTATCTGATATAGCCGTTTAAATGTCATTTTATAATTTTTTTTTGGTTTGGATCAAATTTCGAATTGATTTTATAAATCTATTCAAACCGAACCAAATTACATGTATATATTTTTGTAAGTATTTTTTTTTGATATGATATGTTGTGTGTAAATTTATTATTCGACGATACTTACTTTTAAATACTATTTATTAAATTTTTTAAATTTATTAATTTTTATTATTTTATTTATTTTAACCATAATCGATAATTCTCATTTTATAATATTAATTTTTAATATATTTTATATATTATATAAAATCTATTATTTATTAACATTTTTATAATCTTAATAAAAAAATATAATTTATAATTTAAATATCCAAAAACTGATCTAATTAAACCCTGTGAAATTGGATCAAATTCAAATCAATTTTTTTAATCAATCATTTAAAATCAAATCAAATCACAAGGAATTTTTTTTTAAATCGAATAAATTTTTTACCTCAAATTCAAACCGTCGGGAACACCCTAACATGTAAAATTTTTATCCTAATATAGTAAGTTTATTAGTCCGGCTCAACTACTCGTTTTGTCTTCTCTGGCATACCCTCAACTCTTCTCTGAAATTCATGGAAAGAATTGGATTCCCTGCCGTAGTTGTGTCACAGTTTCTATAAAGTTTATAAAGTATGGACTCCAACCAACACACTTCGACACAGGCACTCTGATCTCAATAATAAGAAAATGTAAGATACCTACACTATTACAGGTAAAATTTGACATTCATTTATCAATTTATTATTAAGAGAGTTAAGTGAAAAATATTTTAATCAAAATTAGTGATTTTAATTTTCATTAATAAGATTGCTCAAATAAAATGTTGAATGTGAAAAAAATGTGTATGATGTGTTGAAGCAATGAAAAAAGTAATTTTTTTTGAAATATTTATTTAAATTGTCCGATAGATGTTGTATGAATAACATGATTTAAAAAGTGTCAACGTAAAAAAAAATCATTTTTAAAAAAATATTTGTTTAACTTTTCTGACACGTTATACAAATTTTTATATAAATATTAGACACCGCGACACAATTATCTGTAAATATGTCTGTGCTGTTTTAGTTTCCATTCGTCTGATCTATCAATAATCAACTAAAATTGTTCTATTGTGTGAAATTGTGCATGATATAGATTAACCAATCTCACAAATTGATGGTCGAGATTGATTACTGATGCGCGAAATTGTGAAAACTCGGATTTCAGGACATTGCAATCCAGTATTCATAAAGTTTGAGAAATGAATGTCATTTCCACCTATGACTTTTGGTTATGAAAAAATGTAGTATAATTGATTTTAACATATTCGCTCGAGTATAATTGATTTTATTTTTCAGAATTATAGCCTCCACCTTGTCGTGATATTTTGCGAACACACACTTAGTCTTGCATATGAAAGCTTTTTCACATTTTTATGTCAACACTCATAACCATTTGCAACACCATAGTTAGAATTCACATTCACAGCCATTTGTAAAATCTATTTTAATAGAGTAATCAAGCATTCATATTATAATAATTCATGACACCTTACCCACTATGAATGCAACAAGGGAAGGAAACATCCTTGAAGCGTGCACCATTATTTTTTCTATACCAATTCTTAATTCTTGCCTCCAAACTCATTTTTGTCTATTATGCATACACTCTGACATATACATGTGTGAGACATCTCATTGGTACTGATAGTAATTACGTATGCCTAGTAGACATCATTACGTATGCCTATTAGATTTATGTTTTGAGTATTTTTCTCTTGACTAAACCCTGGTTGCATCTTAAGAAGCAGTCAACCACTATGTTTCCAAGGAAAAAGGGAATCCTTATTCAATTAGAAAGTACTGTCATTGTTAAATGAAAGAATCAACTAAGTAAATACAAAAGATCCAACTTTTCTCCACCTGGAACTTACTTAGCAACGCAAGGAACTTCAATTTTATTACAAAATCTTCCAATGTTCAAAGTATAGTCTTCATGTATTATTCAAAAAAGTATAGTCTTCATAATTAAAAACTTACTATTGCAAGTCTAAGTTTAAACGAGAATTTTCTATGAGTTTATAAAAAGTTTAAACGGTTAATAATTAGAATCATTTATATTTTTTAAAATTAAAAATTTATGATAATTTAACGATTAAATATGAGAAAATAGAAGATACCAATGAACGCCGTGTATTCCATCACACCATCATGCTAATTTGAAATAACTTCGACGTAATATCAGTGATTTTCAATTAGATGACCGTAAAATATGTTTAGTTTCACATAGAGCGCATTTAACATGTTTGATTGGTATTTTTGAATAAAATCAATTTTGACTTTATAATTTATTCCAATTTAAAATTAAAATATGTATCTTTAGAGTTTAAATATAGATTTATATAAATAATTTATATTTAATTCACAAGTAAAATTAGTTTATTAATTTTTGTTTTATCACCGTCAAAAGTACACTAATATGACTAAATAATTCTTTTTATAAATTTGCAATTTAATAAATAAAATTTGGTTCTTATTCAACATTATTAGGGTTAAGGTTAATACATAATATCATACTTCACGTAAATTAAATGTTAGTTAAATCAAATAAAATTTAATAGCGAATAGACTTTTGTAAAGATAGTTGAGTTGGTAGTTGTGCATAGACATCATATGTAAATGTGCGGGTTTAGATTTGTGGTATCTAACTTATTTATCTTTAAATGGTGAATTTCAGCTACTAGGCTAAGAATGATATTTAATGTGTCTATATCATATTACTGGTGTCTCACCAAGACTCTTCCACTTTTTTCTATTAGAAGTCGAACTAAAGGTATGTGTAACCAAGACTCTTCTTTTCTTTGAAGTACTCGAGCAAATGTCCATCTACTAACAATTCATAAAAGAAAATTTTTAAAACAAGAAAATTAGGAGATGAGCTAGTAAGCTTAACTGAGAAGTGTAGTGCAATATCACAAGGTGGGAGAATCTCCATCAAACGAAGAAATTCTGGATCGTCACAATTTCACGCACTATAGAAGACAGAACTTTCAAAAAGGTTCTAATTGATTCGGGAGTTAGTGTGAGTTTGATGTCATTGTCAATCTATAAAAAAATTGGTATTGGAAAAGTAAGTGATACAAGGATGAATTTAAAATTTGCATATCATTCCACAAAGCATCCATATGGGATAACGGAAGATGTGTTGGTTAAAATAGAAAAATTTAACTTCCTAGTTGATTTTTTGATCCTGAATATGCTTGAAGATGAAAAGACACCTTTCATTCTTGGTCGACCGTTCTTCCTTACAAGTCGATGCAATATCGATTTAGACACTCAATTTAAAAATTTATGATGACGAAATAACATTAAATGTGTTTGAAAACATGAAGCAAGGAAAAGAAAAAAGATAATTGCTATCAAGTAGGCATGATCAAAACATGTGTGAAAATCCAAATTCAAGGACTTCCACCAGAAAAAGTCTCAAGAATAACATCTTAAATGGTGTTATCTCGAATGGCACCTCCGAGTAGAAAAACACACAAATCCATTCCAAAATCTAAAAGAAAAAAGAAAAAAGTGCCATCAAAGTAATGTTATGGAACTGTGGATTAACCTGATGCACAAAATTGTATGTGTTTTTGGAAAAGATGATTTCTTCGTCCAAAAAAAGAAAAATAACAATGTTTGAAAGATGAAGTATCCACCCTAACATGGATGATGAGACGTCAAGCGAATGACGTTAAACGAACGTTGCTTGGGAGGCAACCCAGATGAGATATTCTTACCTTATATTTATTTTAGTTTATATTTTTCAATTTTAAATTAGGTTCTTAATTTTGTTTTGTTTTTATTGGTTTATTTCGTGTTTGTTTTCTTTCATTTGGTTATCTAATAGTTCATAGTAAAATAGTGGTTGCGAATAATCAACCAACATTATTTTTAGTCCTCATGCATGCCAACTCGCAAAATAATTTTTATATACTTCAGAATATTCTAATGTGGTTTAATTGAGTTATACTGAGAGTTTAAAAGGTTTATGGTAAATGACTGTGACGCCGCATCAAACAAGATGCATTATGTAAGTTGTTCATCTCTAATTAACCTGGTGAGGAATAGATAAACCCAAACACATTATTTTATCTAGAGAGAATTCTTGTATGTATTTATTATCCAAAACTTACATATGTTTTT